AAAACTCCGCCGCACCTCCGCCAAGATGCCGTCCTCCGTCGCTCTCTCTGCTGAACAGGCGTCGCTGCTGGGGTGAGTAGGCCTATGCGAGGTGGTTTTTGGTTTTTTGGTTTATGGGAATTGGTGTTGTTTTACTTATTGTTATTATTATTTTTTTTTATTACGTCCGTCCGTTTTTTTTTTCTTTTTCTTTTTTTTTCTTTATTGATATTATTGTTTTTTTTATGGTGGTTATTTCGCCTGTCCAGCAGCTTTATTAACATTAATGTTAATGTTAATGTTAATATTATTAGTTATTTATTATTTATTTATTCATTTATTTATTTAGTTATTATTCAATATTCTTATTTCATATTATCATTTTTGATTATTATTATTATTAATTATTATCATTATTATTTATTATTATTATTATTTATTATTATTATATATTATTATTATTATTTATTATTGTTATTACTTATTACTACTACAAATATTATTATTATTATTATTATTATTATTATTATTATTATTATTATTATTATTATTATTATCATTATTATTATTGTTGTTGCTGTTGTTATTGTTTTTTTTATATTATTTATTTATTTTTGTTACGTTTCTTTATTTATTTATTTTTTTGGCTACGAAGATGATTGTGAAATAGAGATGTTTGTAATAACTGTTTTAAATAATAATGATACTGAGTAGATCGGAAGAATGATAATAGATATGATAACGGTGATAACACTGATAACAGAAAAAAATAACGTACGTGAAAGCTGATAAGGAGATAGGGTGATGATAACAACAGTAACGTGATATGGGACATCAAGGCAGCCCTCTGTTTGGTTTCCTTTGTGTATGAAGGAAAGAGGAAATAAACGAGGGAGGAAGTAGGAGATGGTGTGAAATAGGAGGAATGGAGGAGAAGGATGAGGTATAAGGAAGAGGTGGGAAATAGGAGGGAATGAGGAGAGGGATGAGGTATAAGGAAGAGGTGGGAAGTGGGAGGAGAAGAAAGAAGGAAGTAAGTAGGAGGAGAAGATGTGAAATAGGAGGAAATGAGGAGAAGGATGAGGTATAAGGAAGAGGTGGGAAATGGGAGGGAATGAGGAGAGGGATGAGGTATAAGGAAAAGGTGGAAAATAGGAAATGAGGAGAGAGATGAGGAAAAGGTGGGAAGTGGGAGGAGAAAGGGGAGGAGAGGAAAGAAAGAAAGAAGGAAGGAAGGAAGGGAAGAACGAAGTTTAAAGGAAGGAAGGAAGGAGAATTTAAAAACGACAGAAGATGAGAAAGACGGTGTAAGAGAGAGACGGAGAAGAAAGTTTGGAGGAAAGGAGAGGAGAAATTGGATAGAAGATTAATCTGATATTATTGTTATTCTTTTACGGAATGCCGAATGGTGTAGAAAGAGGAGGGAGAGAAAGATGGAATGAGGAAGGGAAAGAGGGAAGAAGGATTTGGGGAAGGGGAAGGAGAGGAGAGAAAAGAGGATTTTAAAACGAATAACTAAGAAAACGGGGAATATTAAAAAAGAAAAAAGTATGATGGAAAACAAGAAAGAAAATAGACAAAATGGAGAAGTAAAAAAAGAGAGAATTAGAATAAAATGTATAGGAATGGAAGTAAGTAAAAAAAATAAATAAATAAAGGAAGGAAGACGAGGAATCTGGAATTAAACGAAATTAAATGAGAAAAAAAGGAATGTGAAGGAGATAAGTTGGTTGAGGAATTGAGAAAGAGAAAGACGAGAATAAAGGAGGGGAGAAGAGGAATGAGGGATTAGAGGAAGAGAGAGTGAGGAGATAGGAGAGCAGGACCAAGAAAAGGAAATGAGAAAGAAGAAGAGAATTATCATTTTTTTTATTCAATATGATGAATCTATTTTTTTTTCTTACGAGAGACGAAGAGAGAAAGAAAAGTAGGAGAGAAAGTATAATTTTTTTTCAACGAACTAAGAATAATTCAAATGAAATAAATGTAGAATAGATTAAGAAATATACAAACTATGAATTAGGAATTAGGGGCAGAGAAATGGGAGAGGGAGATGGAGAGAGAGAGAGATGGAGAGAGAGAGAGATGGAGAGAGAGAGAGATGGAGAGAGAGAGAGATAGAGAGAGAGAGAGATGGAGAGAGAGAAAGAGAGAAAGAGAGAGACGGGGGGGGGGGGTAAGGCACAGCCGAGGCACCCACTGCTTTTAGACAACAAGGAGACCTCGTTAGTGGCTGTTCCCTGTCGAGTGTTTCCTTCGGGGTGAATGCACGGGGGTACTCTGTTACTCTCGGCTGACGGACGAGGGGGAGGGAGGGGGCTGCTGTGCGTGCGTGTGTGTGTGCGTGTGCATGTGCGTGTGCGTGTGCGTGTGTGTGCGTGTGCGCGTGTGCGCGCTCGCTCGCGTATCTCTCTCTCTCTTTCTCTTTCTCTTTCTCTTTCTCTCCTTCCTTTCCTTTCCTTTCCCTTATTTTCCTTCCCTTCCCTCTCCCTTGCCATCCTCTAACCTCCTCTCCCCACCC